CTGGCCTGGCCTGGCCTGGCCTGGCCTGGCCTGGCCTGGCCTGGCCTGGCCCTGGCCTGGCCTGGCCTGGCCTGGCCTGGCCTGGCCTGGCCCTGGCCTGGCCTGGCCTGGCCTGGCCTGGCCTGGCCTGGCCTGGCCTGGCCTGGCCTGGCCTGGCCTGGCCTGGCCTGGCCTGGCCTGGCCTGGCCTGGCCTGGCCTGGCCTGGCCTGGCCTGGCCCTGGCCTGGCCTGGCCTGGCCTGGCCTGGCCTGGCCTGGCCTGGCCTGGCCTGGCCTGGCCTGGCCTGGCCTGGCCTGGCCTGGCCTGGCCTGGCCTGGCCTGGCCTGGCCTGGCCTGGCCTGGCCTGGCCTGGCCTGGCCTGGCCTGGCCTGGCCTGGCCTGGCCTGGCCTGGCCTGGCCTGGCCTGGCCTGGCCTGGCCCTGGCCTGGCCTGGCCTGGCCTGGCCTGGCCTGGCCTGGCCTGGCCTGGCCTGGCCTGGCCTGGCCTGGCCTGGCCTGGCCTGGCCTGGCCTGGCCTGGCCTGGCCTGGCCTGGCCTGGCCTGGCCTGGCCTGGCCCTGGCCTGGCCTGGCCTGGCCTGGCCTGGCCTGGCCTGGCCTGGCCTGGCCTGGCCTGGCCTGGCCTGGCCTGGCCTGGCCTGGCCTGGCCTGGCCTGGCCTGGCCTGGCCTGGCCTGGCCTGGCCTGGCCTGGCCTGGCCTGGCCTGGCCTGGCCTGGCCTGGCCTGGCCTGGCCTGGCCTGGCCTGGCCTGGCCTGGCCTGGCCTGGCCTGGCCTGGCCTGGCCTGGCCTGGCCTGGCCTGGCCTGGCCTGGCCTGGCCTGGCCTGGCCTGGCCCTGGCCTGGCCTGGCCTGGCCTGGCCCTGGCCTGGCCTGGCCTGGCCTGGCCTGGCCTGGCCTGGCCTGGCCTGGCCTGGCCTGGCCTGGCCTGGCCTGGCCTGGCCTGGCCTGGCCTGGCCTGGCCTGGCCTGGCCTGGCCTGGCCTGGCCTGGCCTGGCCTGGCCTGGCCTGGCCTGGCCTGGCCTGGCCTGGCCTGGCCTGGCCTGGCCTGGCCTGGCCTGGCCTGGCCTGGCCTGGCCTGGCCTGGCCTGGCCTGGCCTGGCCTGGCCTGGCCTGGCCTGGCCCCTGGCCTGGCCTGGCCTGGCCTGGCCTGGCCTGGCCTGGCCTGGCCTGGCCTGGCCTGGTCTGGCATGGCCTGGTCTGACCTGGCCTTGCATGGACTGTTCTGGCCTGGTCTTGCCTTGCCTGGCCTTGTCTTGCCTGGTCTGTTCTGGCCTGGCCTTGTCTATCCTGGTCTGGCCTGGGCTGGCCTGGCCTGGTCTGGCCTGGCCTGGCCTGGCCTGGCCTGGCCTGGCCTGGCCTGGCCTGGCCTGGCCTGGCCTGGCCTGGCCTGGCCTGACCTGGCCTGGCCTGGCCTGGCCTGGCCTGGCCTGGCCTGGCCTGGCCTGGCCTGGCCTGAGCCTGGCCTGGCCTGGCCTGGCCTGGCCTGGCCTGGCCTGGCCTGGCCTGGCCTGGCCTGGCCTGGCCTGGCCTGGCCTGGCCTGGCCTGGCCTGGCCTGGCCTGGCCTGGCCTGGCCTGGCCTGGCCTGGCCTGGCCTGGCCTGGCCTGGCCTGGCCTGGCCTGGCCTGGCCTGGCCTGGCCTGGCCTGGCCTGGCCTGGCCTGGCCTGGCCTGGCCTGGCCTGGCCTGGCCTGGCCTGGCCTGGCCTGGCCTGGCCTGGCCTGGCCTGGCCTGGCCTGGCCTGGCCTGGCCTGGCCTGGCCTGGCCTGGCCTGGCCTGGCCTGGCCTGGCCTGGCCTGGCCTGGCCTGGCCTGGCCTGGCCTGGCCTGGCCTGGCCTGGCCTGGCCTGGCCTGGCCTGGCCTGGCCCTGGCCTGGCCTGGCCTGGCCTGGCCTGGCCTGGCCTGGCCTGGCCTGGCCTGGCCTGGCCTGGCCTGGCCTGGCCTGGCCTGGCCTGGCCTGGCCTGGCCTGGCCTGGCCTGGCCTGGCCTGGCCTGGCCTGGCCTGGCCTGGCCTGGCCTGGCCTGGCCTGGCCTGGCCTGGCCTGGCCTGGCCTGGCCTGGCCTGGCCTGGCCTGGCCTGGCCTGGCCTGGCCTGGCCCTGGCCTGGCCTGGCCTGGCCCTGGCCTGGCCTGGCCTGGCCTGGCCTGGCCTGGCCTGGCCCTGGCCTGGCCTGGCCTGGCCTGGCCTGGCCTGGCCTGGCCTGGCCTGGCCTGGCCCTGGCCTGGCCTGGCCTGGCCTGGCCTGGCCTGGCCTGGCCTGGCCTGGCCTGGCCTGGCCTGGCCTGGCCTGGCCTGGCCTGGCCTGGCCTGGCCTGGCCTGGCCTGGCCTGGCCTGGCCTGGCCTGGCCTGGCCTGGCCTGGCCTGGCCTGGCCTGGCCTGGCCTGGCCTGGCCTGGCCCTGGCCTGGCCTGGCCCTGGCCTGGCCTGGCCTGGCCTGGCCTGGCCTGGCCTGGCCTGGCCTGGCCTGGCCTGGCCTGGCCTGGCCTGGCCTGGCCTGGCCTGGCCTGGCCTGGCCTGGCCTGGCCTGGCCTGGCCTGGCCTGGCCTGGCCTGGCCTGGCCTGGCCTGGCCTGGCCTGGCCTGGCCTGGCCTGGCCTGGCCTGGCCTGGCCTGGCCTGGCCTGGCCTGGCCTGGCCTGGCCTGGCCTGGCCTGGCCTGGCCTGGCCTGGCCTGGCCTGGCCTGGCCCTGGCCTGGCCTGGCCTGGCCTGGCCTGGCCTGGCCTGGCCTGGCCTGGCCTGGCCTGGCCTGGCCCTGGCCTGGCCTGGCCTGGCCTGGCCCTGGCCTGGCCTGGCCTGGCCTGGCCTGGCCTGGCCTGGCCTGGCCTGGCCTGGCCTGGCCTGGCCTGGCCTGGCCTGGCCTGGCCTGGCCTGGCCTGGCCTGGCCTGGCCTGGCCTGGCCTGGCCTGGCCTGGCCTGGCCTGGCCTGGCCTGGCCCTGGCCTGGCCTGGCCTGGCCTGGCCTGGCCTGGCCTGGCCTGGCCTGGCCTGGCCTGGCCTGGCCTGGCCTGGCCTGGCCTGGCCTGGCCTGGCCTGGCCTGGCCTGGCCTGGCCTGGCCTGGCCTGGCCTGGCCTGGCCTGGCCTGGCCTGGCCTGGCCTGGCCTGGCCTGGCCTGGCCTGGCCTGGCCTGGCCTGGCCTGGCCTGGCCTGGCCCTGGCCTGGCCTGGCCTGGCCTGGCCTGGCCTGGCCTGGCCTGGCCTGGCCTGGCCTGGCCTGGCCTGGCCTGGCCTGGCCTGGCCTGGCCTGGCCTGGCCTGGCCTGGCCTGGCCTGGCCTGGCCTGGCCTGGCCTGGCCTGGCCTGGCCTGGCCTGGCCTGGCCTGGCCTGGCCTGGCCTGGCCCCTGGCCTGGCCTGGCCTGGCCTGGCCTGGCCTGGCCTGGCCTGGCCTGGCCTGGCCTGGCCTGGCCCTGGCCTGGCCTGGCCTGGCCTGGCCTGGCCTGGCCTGGCCTGGCCTGGCCTGGCCCTGGCCTGGCCTGGCCTGGCCTGGCCTGGCCTGGCCTGGCCTGGCCTGGCCCTGGCCTGGCCTGGCCTGGCCTGGCCTGGCCTGGCCTGGCCTGGCCTGGCCCTGGCCTGGCCTGGCCTGGCCTGGCCTGGCCTGGCCTGGCCTGGCCTGGCCCTGGCCTGGCCTGGCCTGGCCTGGCCTGGCCTGGCCTGGCCTGGCCTGGCCTGGCCTGGCCTGGCCTGGCCTGGCCTGGCCTGGCCTGGCCTGGCCTGGCCTGGCCTGGCCTGGCCTGGCCTGGCCTGGCCTGGCCCTGGCCTGGCCTGGCCTGGCCTGGCCTGGCCTGGCCTGGCCTGGCCTGGCCTGGCCTGGCCTGGCCTGGCCTGGCCTGGCCTGGCCTGGCCTGGCCTGGCCTGGCCTGGCCTGGCCCTGGCCTGGCCTGGCCTGGCCTGGCCTGGCCTGGCCTGGCCTGGCCTGGCCTGGCCTGGCCTGGCCTGGCCTGGCCTGGCCTGGCCTGGCCTGGCCCTGGCCTGGCCTGGCCTGGCCTGGCCTGGCCTGGCCTGGCCTGGCCTGGCCTGAGCCTGGCCTGGCCTGGCCTGGCCTGGCCTGGCCTGGCCTGGCCTGGCCTGGCCTGGCCTGGCCTGGCCTGGCCTGGCCTGGCCTGGCCTGGCCTGGCCTGGCCTGGCCTGGCCTGGCCTGGCCTGGCCTGGCCCTGGCCTGGCCTGGCCTGGCCTGGCCTGGCCTGGCCTGGCCCTGGCCTGGCCTGGCCTGGCCTGGCCTGGCCTGGCCTGGCCTGGCCTGGCCTGGCCTGGCCCTGGCCTGGCCTGGCCTGGCCTGGCCTGGCCTGGCCTGGCCTGGCCTGGCCTGGCCTGGCCTGGCCTGGCCTGGCCTGGCCCTGGCCTGGCCTGGCCTGGCCTGGCCTGGCCTGGCCTGGCCTGGCCTGGCCTGGCCTGGCCTGGCCTGGCCCTGGCCTGGCCTGGCCTGGCCTGGCCTGGCCTGGCCTGGCCTGGCCTGGCCTGGCCTGGCCTGGCCCTGGCCTGGCCTGGCCTGGCCTGGCCTGGCCTGGCCTGGCCCTGGCCTGGCCCAGCCTGGCCCGGACCTGGCCTGGCCTGGCCTGGCCTGGCCTGGCCTGGCCTGGCCTGGCCTGGCCTGGCCTGGCCTGGCCTGGCCTGGCCTGACGGCCTGGCCTGGCCTGGCCCTAGCCTGGCCTGGCCTGCCTGGCCTACCTGGCCTGGCCTGGCCTGACCTGGCTACACAGCCTGGCCTGGCCTGGCCTGGCCTGGCCTGGCCCTGGCCTGGCCTGGCCTGCCTGGCCTGGCCCACTGGCCCTGGCCCGGTACGGCCTACTGGCCTGGCCTAGCCTGGCCTGGCCTAGCCTGGCCCTGGCCCTAGCCTGGCCTACGGCCCTAGCCTGGCCCTGGCCTGACCTAGCCTAGCCCTAGGCCTAGCCCTGACCTAGCCCCTAAGCCTAGCCCCTGGCCTAGCCTAACCCTAGACCCTAGCCTGACCTGACCCTGAGCCCTAGACCTAACACTAACCTAACGCCTAGCCTCAACCTAGCCCTAGACCTAACCTAGCTGCGTCTTGGCATCATCCAGCGCATCGCCGGAGTTCGCTAGGCCTGCGTGAGAATGCAGAGCAATGGGCGTACTATCTGGGAGACCTAGTTACTTTCTCCAGGCGCTCTCTCACACACTTGATTGTTTGCAGGGAGGGAGGAGAGGAGAGAGAGAGAGAGAGAGGGCGGGCGGGCAGGCAGGCAGGCAAGCAGAAACAAAATCTCTCTCTCTCTCTCTCTCTCTCTCTCTCTCACACACACACACACACACACACACACACACACACACACACACACTCTCTCGTTTGCGGGAGGAGGGAGACAGAAGGGCACAAAAGTTATCTGTCACACTAGCATACACTCAAACACAGCATGTGCTTGTGTGCGGGGGAGACAGACAGAGACAGAGAGATGGACACAAAATATCACTCCAACACGCACACACGCACACCCGAAACCACACTCCCGCCCCCCGTGTGCTTGTATGCGGGGGAGAGAGACAGACTCAAAATAGATCACGGAGAGAGGGGGCAGGCAGGTAGGCAGGCAGGCACACGCACGCACCCCCATTTCGACCGCATGCATGCACTCACTCACTCACTCACTGCACGCACGATCATGACACCAAAGGGATACGAAGAAGAGAGAAAGAGAGAAGAAGAGAAGAGAAAGAGAAAACGGCTGCCCTGCCCTTACCATGCTGGCCACACGGGGGCGCTCCTAAAGCAAGGAACCGGCGCGTACCCGGTCTACCTGGGAGAATGCAGGCAAGGAACGGCCGCCCTGCCATGCGCCGGCCACACGGGGGCGCTCCTAAAGAGAGGAGGGGTTCCTAGCCGGTCTACGGGGAGCAGGCAGGCAGGCAGTCGGGGACGGCCCCTGCCTGCCTGCCTGCCCTGCCTGCCCGGTGCTCCTAAATGAAGGGACAGGCTCCTGCCCGCTCTACCTGGAAGGCAGGCAGCAGCGGACGGCCCTCTGCCTCGCTACTGCTCCTAAACCAAGGGAGGGGTGCCTGCCCGGTCTACCTGGCGGAAGGCAGGCAGACAGGCACGGGGATGCTGCTAAAGCAAGGAACTGCTGGAACTCAAGCTGCCTTTGAACCAGCACAGACGTGACTCCTCGCATGCTCAGAGACCATTTCTTTTTTGTTACCGGAAACTCAAGTTGTAAAGAGGGGAATGGACACCAAGCTGACCCCGCTCGCCCCACAATGCATGAGTATCACTTTCGGCCACCCCGGTTTAACAATGCCTTCATGTGACACGCAGCACCGGGCTGCTGGAAGCAGTTCTGCAGACCCTTGCGCTCGAGGCCAGGGGGTGTCAGGAAGGAAACTGTGGAGACTCAGGGACACCGAGAGAGGAGCTGAAATGCAGGAGACCTAAAGGGATGGAAGTAGGAACAGCAGTGTCGGCAGAAAAGGAGGTTTGGGGCGGGGGTGGTGGTAGAAGAGACAAACTGGTTGGGGAAAACAGGTGCCTTCAGGTGGGGGAATCTTTAGGGATGCAGAAAAACCTGGAGGCCGAGCTGCAGAGCGACGAGGAGTTGGGTGAGGAAGGTTTCCTCTTATGTTGGGGGAGGTGTATGGCTCTGGAGGGTGCAGACTCCTCCTTCTCCTTAAAGGTTATGAGCCTTAGGACATCTGTTTCTTGCCAGTTTCAGCTCCTTCTGTGCTCCCTCCCTTGCCCTCGGGGCTGCCAAGAGATTAGCAAATCGATTGATTAGCATCTAACTGATTAATCAATAAACAAACCAACACAATTTAAATGCATTTACATGCTGCAACACCTCAACTTTATAATGATGCTGTGAGAAAGGAGCGGTTTAGTAACCAACGCTTTTTCTTCTTAAAAAATCTAACAAAAAACTTTCACTTCTTGCTGTTAGAAATAGTGGTCTCTCCTCGCCTCCCACTATTTGAATAGAAGCCCGGTACTTTCCTGTTATTATCTGAACCGAGTCCCTGGCGGGGATAGAGGAGGCTATGGAGGAAAATAGATGGCTAAGCGGAAGAGGCAACGGAGCCTGCTGGCTACTGCAGACCACGGGTGCCAACTTGAATAAATATGGCGGGGGGAAGGCAGGGGCGTGGCCAGGATTTATGTTGGCGGGGGGGGGGGGGCAGAATCATCTGCGACGCAGTTGGTCAGTTAGTTAAGCATTTTTTCTTTTCTTGATTTAGGGGGGCAGCTGCCCCCTGCCCTCCTTTGGCTACTCATGGGGACAGGTAAGTCCCGCCCCGCCTAATAGATCACAAGACATGGCGCGCGCACCATTTGAACAGCAATGAATGACCATCAACTTTTTTGGGCGGGCGGCCCCCGCAAATATTTTACTGGGGGGCGAAGGAACCTCCGCCCCAGGAATTGGCTCCTACTCTGCAGACCGCCCCTCCCACCACCTTGATGAAAGTGTCCCTAAGCACGTGCAGAGTAAATTTCCATTCCACAAATAAAAGGAGACGCCACTCTGTGGTGATTTGTTAATTCTATTTATTCAATTACTGTCCGTGTATACCCCGCTTGATTGTAGAATAGAATAAGCAGCAAGATTATTAGTAAAAACCATTTTTTAAAAACTAAATGCCAGCGACGTCCAAAAAACACCCCAGCAATCTGAAGAGTACAGTAGCAGGTGCCGAAAGGAGCGCAGTGAAAGCGCCTGCGGAAAACATTTTGTTTAGACGAGCCTGTCCAGATATTCGATTGCTGGTATGTTTTTTGTTCGCCGCTGGTTTTTAGAGTGCTTGGAGGGAGATCCAGAGGAGATTTATTTCTTACAAATGCGGAGTGAGTATCGCACGGCACCTGTAACAGCGCCGGTTCCGCATGAAGGGAAGACGGGACTTCCAGATCCGAGGGTTGCATTTTGCTTCCGATACTCGCTGGAGCCCCAGACCCGTCTTCTAGAGTGGCTGGGAAGGAGAGAGGGCAAGCAGATTAAACCTCGGGTTAATGCCCCCCCCCGACGTCCTTCCTCATCTCATTCCTGACTTCAGCTCAGCTTCCTGCCCACCTGCCCGCTCGCCTCCCCCCTTGTCGGGATTTGTCAAGACACAGCAAAGCGGGGAGACTTCGAAGGGCTGCTGAGAACATTACGGGGCCCCGGAAACCCTCGGCTTCTAATAAGGAAGGTTTTTATTTCTGATGGCTCCTCGGAAAGAGGGAACAGATGGGATCCTGGAATGGGCGGGGGGGGGACATGAGCCCACCACCAACTCCGGGGAATAAAGGGGCGCATTAGACCGACCGGCAGCATCCCTTCGAGCAGGACTTCAAAACGCCTGCAAGTTCATTGCTTCACACTGGGGGCGAAGCAGGGCCAGACAGAGGGAGGGCCATATGGGCCACTTGGCCGGGGCCTCCGATTCCAAAGGCGGCTCGGTCAGCATATTTATCTATATTTTCCATTTTGTCTTTATATGCAGATACGGTTCAAGCCTTGAAATAAAATTAGTTGTCAGCATAACTTTTGTGAAGATTATTTATATACTTATTTATAAGACTTCAGTTATCCCCAGGGTAAAATAAAGGGGCGCATTATCTACCTGGCCCGGGCCTCTGCCTGGCTCTGCAAGGCCCTGGGGCGAAGACTCGCATTTGAACCACCACCAGCAGGAATTATGATCTGAAATCCCTCCACAGAAGACAGGGAGGGAGGGAGGTCAGGTGTGTGCCCAGTGTTAACCTTTTCCTTCCAGCCTTAACATCACCATCAGCCTTCGAGGTTAGAGCATCAGGATCGCTCCAGTCAGTCGGATCACTGGGGCCGTTGCGCGTTGCTCGCCACCGACTGCACGGAGGCCTATTCAGTAGAGTCTGATAACATTCGCATAGCCTTCCCCACGTACCACTCCGTACATAGCAACAGGCACATTAGCTGGGGGGGTGGAGAGAAGATTGGGGAACTGCCTTTCCCCAGCAGCAACAGAGACCTCTGCCTGAACGCTGAGAAACAACAAACGCAGCATGAAACTAAAGCAATTATTCGAGTCTCAGGATCGTGCGGGAAACACTTGTTGCATGAATAAAAAACGTGTTTGGGCTCCTTTTAATATCTATGGAAAGCTGAATTTTAGTGCCTCCCCCATCTTAATTTCGACGCATTCTGATCTCAGAAAGTCCCTTATTGGGGGATGAGCTTTGAAGCCTTCTTTGAACTGGTCAGCAGAGGGCGATATGGAATTTCGTTGCCATAGATTGTGAGGCGGGGGTGGAGGGGCGGGAAGGGAAGAGAAGAGTGAAAGGATCACAGGGAATAATTCCGGCTTGCTACTTTGCAGCAGATGGCTCTGAAAGCACTTTGCACCAAGCACTTCACCTTCATTAAAACAAAAGGGGGCAAATTAAAACAGATCCGCAGAAGTGCATTTGGAGCCCCCGGGAAAACAGTTCCAAGTGCCATCGTGTTCCTAGTCTTCGTAGTCCTCCTCAGCTGAGAGAAACCTCTCTTACTCTGGAGGCAGAGGAAGCAAACGCGCAATTGGTGTAAAAGGGGACAAAACGTATGGGGAAAGCCTCAGCCTCCATCAAAGCCCAGTTTTGCAACATCAGGAGCTTGTAGCCAGGCCTCACCTCTGAAGGTCCGCATCCAACATCTGTGACAGAAACATGCCAGATGGGTTTCTCTTATGAAAAGGCGAATGCCAGTCCTGTGTCACAGTGCCGGATGTACATATAAGCTAAACAAGCTATAGCTTAGGGCCCTACCCTCTTGGGGGCCCCAAAAAAATTTAAAGGGGGAAAAACCCCAGACGTACATTTCCAAAATATAAGATAAAAAACAAATAAAACCTACATACAGCAACAGTGTTTTGTGTTGTGTATGGACCTATTAAATTACCAGCGAGGGGTGAACGGCAGCGGCCGGGGTGGCGGTCGGTCAGGGTTCCGTGCCCGCGCGGCTGTCTGCCGTCCCCTGCCTGCCTGCCTGTCCCCCTCCCCCCCGGTGGACCGGGTAGGCGCTCGTTCCTGGGTTTAGGAGCGCCGGGGAGCAGGGAGCAGGGAGGGAGTCAGGGTGGCCGTCCCATGCCTGCCTTCCTCCAGGTAGACTTCACCTTCATTAAAACAAAAGGGGGCAAATTAAAAACGAGTCCGCAGAAGTGCATTGGGAGCCCCCGGGAAAACAGTTCCACGTGCTATCGTGTTCCTCGTCTTCGTTGTCCTCAGTTGAGAGAACCTCTCACTCTGGAGGAAGAGGAAGCAAACCGCAGCATTTGGTGTAAAGGAGACAAAACGTATGGGGAAAGCCTCAGCCTCCATCAAAGTCCGCTTTGCAACACCAGGAACTTGTAACCAGGCCTCACCTCTGAAGGTCCGCATCCAACATCTGTGACGAAACATGCCAGATGGGTCTCTCTTATGAAAAGGCGAATAATAGTCCTGTGTCGCAGTGCCGGATGTACATATCAGCCAAAAACAAGCCATGCAGCCAGGGCCCTACCTCCTCTTGGGGACCCCACAAAATTAAAAAGAGGAAAAAACCCAGATGTACATTTCCAAATATAAGATAAAAGAAATAAAAATAAAACCTACCTACAGCAACAGTGTTTTGTGTTGCTGCATGGACCTACTAAATGGCCAGTGAGAGGTGTGAACGGCAGCGGCCGGGAGTGGCGGCCGGTCGGGTTCCGTGCCCGCGCGGCTGTCTGCCGTCCCCTGCCTGCCTGCCTCTCCCCCTCCCCCCCGGTGGACCGGGTAGGCGCCCGTCCCTTCTTTTAGGAGCGCCGGGGAGCAGGGAGCAGGGAGGGAGTCAGGGTGGCCGTCCGACGCCCGCCTTCCTCCAGGCGAGACCGGGCAGGAGCCTGTCCCTTTGGTTCAGGACCGCCGGCCAGGCAGGCAGGCAGGCAGGGCGGACGTCCCCTGCCTGCCCGCCTGCCTGCCCGCCCGCCTACCCGCCTACCCGCCCTCCTGCCCCCCTGCTCCCCAGCAGTAGACCGGCTAGGCACCCTTTCCCACGCTTTAGCAGCGCCCCCGTGTGGCCGGCCCAGGGCACGGCGGCCCTTCCTTGCCTGCCTTCTCCCAGGTAGACCGGGTTGGCGCCAGTTCCTTTATTAAGGAGCGCCCTCGTGTGGCCAGCATGGTAAGGGCAAGGCAGCCTTCTTCTTCTTCTTCTTCTTCTTCTTCTTCTTCTTCTTCTTCTTCTTCTTCTTCTTCTTCTTCTTCTTCTTCTTCTTCTTCTTCTTCTTCTTCTTCTTCTTCTTCTTCTCCCTATTGTTGTCATGATCGTGCGTGCTTGCGTTCGTGCGTGCAGTCAGAAATGGGCTGATGCGTGTGTGTGTGTGGCTGCCTGCCCACACCGCCCTCCCTCTCTCTCCGTGATCTATTTTGAGTCTGTCTCTCTCTCCCCCACCCGCAAGCACAATGGGGGGGCCGGGGTGGATTCTTGGGTGTGCAGGAGAAGAGGCACCTCGGCAGAGAGGGCAGCACCAGGCAGGCAGGCAGGCACACACACAATAGCCAGTGTGGGTGTGGTGGTTAAGAGTGGTAGACTCCTAATCTGGTGAACCGGCTTCGTGTCTGCAGTTGCTGGGTGACCTTGGCCTAGTCACACTTCTCTGAAGTCTCTCAGCCCCACTCACCTCACCGAGTGTTTTTAGCTGCTTTGAGACTCCTTCGGGTAGTGATAAAGCAGGATATCAAATCCATGTATACCGGGTAGGAACATTGCCCTTTGTTTAGGAGCGCCAGGCGGGCGGCAGGTAGGTAGGCAGGCAGGCAGGGAGCGTGGCCGTACCCTGCCTGCCTTCCTCCAGGTAGACTGGGTAGAAACGCACGTACGGACGATCATGACAATAGGGATACGAAAAAGAAGAACGGTTGCCTTGCCCTTACCATTCTAGCCACACGAGGGCGCTCCTAAAAAAAGGAACCGGCGAGTACCCGGTCTACCTGGGAGAAGGCAGGCAAGGAACGGCCGCCCTGCCTTTCGCCGGCCACACGGGGCCGCTCGTAAAGCGAGGGAGGGGTGCCTAGCCGGTCAACCTGGAAGCAGGCAGGCAGGCAGCGGACGAACGCCCTGACTCTCTCCCTGCTCCCCGGCGCTCCTAAACCAAGGGAGGGGTGCCTATCTGGTCTATCTGGGGGGGAGGCAGGCAGGCAAGCAAGCAAGCAGGTCATAGCCCCCTTGCCTTCCTGCCTGCCTGCTTACTGCCTGCCTGGCAGTCCTAAACAAGGACCAGGTTTCTGCCCGGTCTACTTGGAAGAAGGCAGGCATGGGACGGCCACGCTGCATGCCCACCTGCTTGCCTGTCGCCCGGCATTCCTAAACAAAGGGCCAGGTTTCTACACGGTCTACCTGGAAGCAGGCAGGGAGGCAGGCAGGGGACGAACACCCTGACTCCCTCCCTGCTCCACTGCGCTCCCAAAGGGCCAGGTTCCTACCCGGTCTACTTGCCGGAAAGCAGGCATGGTTGTGCTGCTAAAGCAAGTAACCGGTGCCTGCCGACGCAACGCCCACCCAGCCCCACCAGCGATGGACAGGGACACCCTTCGCACGAGGGATGCCTCCGCCGGCCGCCCGGGGGCCTCACGCGCGGGACCGGAGGATGGAAGGACGGACGGATGAACCCGAAACGGGTGGTTGGGTGGAGCGGCGGCTCGCCTGCCCGCGAGCTCGATCGCTCGATGCGGCTAGTAGACCGGGCTTTCCGAGGTCTGGCACCGAGTAGACCGTCGAGAGGTGCCATGACATGCCAGGTAGTCCGGTAAAGCCGCGCTTTCCGGCAGGTAGACCGTCCGCTCCCTGCCTTCCAGGTAGACCGGGCAAGAGCCTGTTCCTATGTTTAGGAGCGCTGGTCAGGCGGCAGGCAGGGAGGCAGGGAGGCCGGCCGGCTGGCGGGGAGGGTGGCCGTCCGCTCCCCGCGAGGTAGCTGGGACGTCCTCCCCTCCTCCTCCTCGGGCCTCGTTCTCCCCGGCGGCAGCCAAGCGATCCGGTGGGGGGCGGCCGATTGGGTTGCTCGCTCGGCCGGTCAGCTGGGGAGGGGAGGGGGGAGGTAGACCGAGAGAGAAAGAGCCTGTTTGTAAAAAGAGGGCGGGCAGGCCTGCGGCCTGGCGGCACGCCTTTCCCTCATCCCAGGAGCAGACTGGTCCGAAACGGAAACCCCCCCACCGATCCCGGAGGTAGACCGGCACGCCCCAGCCTTCCCCGGCCGGTAGACCGGAGGGGAGCCGAGGGCCGGGAGACCGGGCAACGTCGCCTGCCCCGCCCCTCCGGCGGGTCGACCGGGAAGCCTCCCTTCCTCGGGGGGTAGACCGGCAGGACCCAGCCTCCCGGGACGGTAGACCGGAGGGGAGCCAAGGGCCGGGAGACGGGGCTCACCGAGGTCCGGCGCCCAGTAGACCGGCCAGCTGTCGCGCGCCGTGCGCCAGGTAGTCCGGCAGAGCCGCGCTTTCCGGTGGGTAGACCGGGAAGCCCCACGATCTCGGAGGAAGACCGGCAAACCCCAGCCTTCCCAGCCGGTAGACCGGAGGGGAGCCGAGGGCCGGGAGACCGGGCTTCCCGAGGTCCGGCGCCCGGTAGACCGGCCGGCGGTCGCGCGCCGTGCGCCAGGTAGCCCGGCAGAGCCGCGCTCTCCGGTCGGTAGACCGGGAAGCCCCACGATCTCGGAGGAAGACCGGGACCACCCAGCCCGCCCACCTCCGCCGACAACAAGACCGGGCAGCCGCTCCAGGCCCACCGCCGTGTGGACCGGCGTTTGCCGGGCCCAAGGAGGGTAGACCAGGAAGACCTTTCTCCTCGGAGGTAGACCTGGAAGCCACAGGCACTGCGGCGAGCAAGCAGGCAGGCAGGCAGGCAGGCAGGCAGGCAGGCAGGCAGGCAGGCAGAGCCTCGCTTTCCGGTGGGTAGACCGGGAAGCCACGACGATCTCGGAGGAAGATGGGCAAACCCCAGCCTTCCTGGCCGGTAGACCGGAGGGAAGCCGAGGGGCGGGAGACCGGGCAACGCCGCCAGCCCCTCCGGCCGGGAGACCGTACTCACCGAGGTCCGGCGCCCAGCAGACCGCCCAGCGGTTCCGCGCCGTACGCCAGGTAGCCCGGCAGAGCCGCGCTTTCCGGCAGGTAGACCGGAAAGTCTACCGTTCTCGCAAGACCGGCCAGAGCCCCCCCCCTTCGAAGGCAGGTAGACCGGGCAGCGGCTCCAGGCACGCGCGCCCCCCGCCTAGTGGACCGGCGCCTCCCGGCCCCATGGAGGGTAGACCGGGAAGCCGTTTCCTCCTCTTAGGTGGACCTGGAAGCCCCAGACCGTGCGGCGAGCAAGCAGGCAGGCAGGCAGGCAGGCTGGCGGGGAGGGTGGCCGTCCGCTCCCTGCCTTCCAGGTAGACCGGGCAAGAGCCTGTTCCTTTGTTTAGGAGCGCTGGTCAGGCGGCAGGCAGGCAGGCAGGCAGGCAGGCAGGCAGGCAGGCAGGCAGGGCGTGGTGTGGTGTGCGTGGACGCGAGGAGCCCACCGGGCCTGACACCGAGTAGACCGGCCAGCGGTGCCGCGCCGGACGCCAGGAAGCCTGGCAGAGGCGCCCTTTCCGGCAGGTAGACCGGGAAGGCCCACGATCTCGGAGGAAGACCGGCAAGACCCAGCCTTCCCGGCCGGTAGACCGGAGGGGAGCCGAGGGCCGGGAGACCGGGCTTCCCGAGGGCCGGCGCCCAGTAGACCGGCCAGCGGTTCCGCGCCGTGCGCCAGGTAGTCCGGCGAAGCCGCGCTTCCCGGTGGGTTGACCGGGAAGCCCCACCATCTCGGAGGAAGACCGGCAAGCCCCAGCCTTCTCGGCCGGTAGACCGGAGGGGAGCCGAGGGCCGGGAGACCGGGCAACGTCGCCTGCCCCTCCCCGACGGCGGGTCGACCGGGAAGCCTCCCTTCCTCGGGGGTAGACCGGCAGGACCCAGCCTCCACGGCCAGCAGAGCCCAGGGCCGGGAGACCGGGCACCGCTGCCAGCCCCGGGCCAGAACGGGGTGACCGTGGACGCGAGAAGCAGACCGGGCCTTCGGACGGTAGACCGGGAGGACCCCCCTACACGGAAGG